AAGGCATAGTAAAATTAAAACAAAAAAAAATGTTTTTGTACACAAAAGTAGCTGTTGCTAGTGGAAATGTCCTCTCAGTGTAGGGTTAATGGTTTATGAAATTAGTGGTTTTTCTTTTCAATTTTTATGGGTAGAAGAATGAATTTTGCCTACCAAGATGTAGACATCCATTTAGGATTTGATCCAGCCCAGTTGTTGTCATAGAGTTGTGCTGGATAACACACAACTGTGACAATTTTTTTCAGTGATCAGACAGGATGGATGAGTTGGTACATGTCATTGCTTCTCCAATCTCATATCACCTGTGAAGAACACAATAGTAAGTGTATATAAGTAAAAAGAGATGAGGAAAGAACATGGGAGCAGGTAGAAATATCACACCTTATTCACACCCTGACACACAGGCTCAGAGATGGAGGGTGAACAGTCTGCCTATTTTGGAGCTGACAGAGCTCATATTCTTGTCTTTGAAAGAAATGCCACAAAGCACTGTCAGCTGTCTTTCTTCTTCTAATCACTTCCCAAACTCATATCAGACTTGAAGTCCCAGGGGAATTTTTTATTATCTTTTCACTTATTTTTTCTGCAGGCTTCATCTTGTCTACTCCTTCATGGACTTTTGTCATTTGCCTCAACTATGTCCCAGGGAAAGCACTGAGTATACTTTAATGTGCCAATGAATAATCATATTAAAATATCTGTTATGCTGCTAGATTGCTGTAAAAAAAATCAGATTGACATCATATTTTCAGTGTTGTTCATTTCCAGTAAGCTGGTTCTGTTTTGAGAATTGTGTCATTAGTGATAGTTTGACAAAATTTATGGAAATTTTTATAGGCAGATAATTTTTATAGATAGATAATATAAACAGATAATTTTAATAGTTATAACAGGATTACTTTTATTTTGGTTTTAGGAAGCAATAGATTTCATTAAAGGAAGCAGAAATTTTCTATACAGCTAGCATAGATCTCAATTAGAGATTGTTCAACTATAAACAAGAAAAGTGTGAAGTGTTTGTTTGGTTTTTTTTTTACTTGATGGAAAAAATGTTGGAAACATTGGAAACAGCAGGATTCAGCCTCAAAACTGCATTGTGCATTGGTATATCAGTTACATAAGTCCTTCCCTAACTTCTATTTCCATCTTCTTTCCCTTGTTGGCTTATATGAGACCCAACATAAAACAGAAATGTTACTGACTTTGCTGCAGTAATAAAGGTCTGACTAAGAACCCCTTGATACTGATTTTATTTAACTAAGAGTGGCTGAGATAGCTCATCCTCATCTCTCACTCTGCTTAGGATAAGAAAATTCAGTCCCAGCTCTCTGAGGAAGGACTGAAATGCATACATTTCTGTTATAGGTTTCCCAAATGCAAGAGGAGAAATTAAAGAAAATTTCTTATTTCATGGTCTTCTACACAAATCCTGTGATAACTTCTTTGCTAATTTATATTTATATGTTCATTTAGGAGGATTATTGTTATATCAACACTAACACAAGGAAAAATTCTTCTTAGCCTCCTGCATTTATTTCACTTTTCCCCATGCAGTGCCATGTATATTCAAAAGACAAATAATTTGTCTATGAATTTTTAATAGTTCTTTTAAACAACTGGAAGTTTGGTAGTGATTTACTAAAATATGAATATTGATCTAATATTGATATCCAACTGAGATGGACAAAAACTCTCTAACAGTTTAAAGTTAGAAAATGTATGTTTATTGCAATGTCCAGGCAGTATGTGGGATAATTCCCTAATGTGCACTGCAAAAAGCCTTTTTATTTACAGAAGTTTTGAATACACAAAATATGAATGCATATTCATATCCCTGTCACTTCCTCTGCTCTGCTCTATATGCTAATTGGCAAAAAGGCTATTAAACATGTGTAGTTTTGTTCTCTGAAATGAGTTGGAGGTCCATTTTGGGGAGGGATCTCCAAAATGAAGAAGGAAAGTAAATTGTCCTCATTTTGATCTTTCTACCTTTTCCATACATACCTGACAAATGAATCCTTGATAGAACCTGTGTTCAATGGGCCATTCAAGTGTGGGAAGTCTGCAACTGTTTTTGTGCCCCTGAGATCTGTTTATCACATTCTGTTTTTCATGATAAACATAGCTACCCTAACATAAAGTTGATAAGCAATGAGTTAATAGATCCTGGATATCTTTTCTAAAATCTGGGTACTGTTAACTATGAACAAAGCCTATTTATCTACTTCTGCTAACTCAGCAATATCTAATTTAATTATCATCTTAACTTTCCCAGAATTCTTAATTCTTCAAAATTAATGGCTCTGTAAAGTAGCAATATCCAAATCCAGGAATACTGTTGGTTATTTATTTCCAAGTTTAAATGTTTAATTCTAACATATTGGAAAGCATTCTCATTTGCATATCATTATTTTGGTCAATAGTGGCCATTACTGTGATAGCCAGCAAAGTCTCCACTGAAGGTTACTATGTAGATAAATGAAAGTGTAAGAACTTTATGATCAGTTTCTGCATTTTTAAAAATTCATGTACTTATGGAAACTTACTAAAACAACAGACAAGAAGTTCTTCCAAAATGGCAGGTGAGATATAGTCCTTTCAGGCTGAAGCCTCCAGTTGCATAGATGTATATCAGATGTACTGCACCAAAAGTAACATCTGGTTGGTTTTGGTAGGGGATTTTTTTGGATAACCATAACAGAAGTATTTGTTTAGTAAGGAAAGAGCTTTGCTTCAGTCCTGTATAACTGGGTAACTAATAATTCTTGCCTGAATTCATTTTTCTCTGTTTAATAAAGGCAATGAAGAAGTGGCACAAATTAGTGCCATGGTATTTGTAGGGTAATATACCTGGTATTTAAAAGAATGGAATCAAAGGAAGCATTGCACTCTGGTCTTGGCTTCCTATTTGATTCCTATTTGATCCTATTATAACTTTTCTAACAATCCAAATTGGAAAAAAAAAAAAAACAAAACAAACAACAACAACAACAAAAAAAACCCAAAATAACAAAAAACCCTACCAAACCAAAACAATAAAATTTTAGTACACTTAGCCCTAAATTATATTTTTAGGGTCCATCTTACAGTAACTTTTCATTGCTTTACCTGATTATCATGTAATCTAGCCATGTCATTGTTTGCCAATTAAATGCTTTATGGCTAGAGGATGAATGCAAGTAAAATTCCAACAATATTTCCATTCTATTTCCTCATTAACATTGGAAATTTTTTTTATATTTAATATAATTTCCCATGTTCAGGCAGAGTGTTTTTCTATTTTTATTATGGTCAGTATTGCACATGGGAATGCAGTGTAATAAAATTAGAGCAACAACTAGAATAACAGATATGTAATATGTATACCTCAGTGATTAATTTTATTCCGCAGCCAAGGTCTACTTCCTTTTACTTGCCATTTGGGGTAATTTTCATCTAGCATTAAAGGCAATTGTTTATCCATAATAACATCTGTAAATCTAGTTATGAACACACTGCAGAATCTTTAATGAGTCTGTAATACTCCTTTGTAGCAAACTTTTGCTTGTGAAAATGGCTAACTTTTTTACAGCCCAAGCTAGACAGCTAGCAATATATTCAATAATAAGTACTGTAATGTTAGGGCTTATCTTTCCAAATGATGTAGCATCTTACCTGACAAGAAGGAATGTATTCTGCTGTCCTTAGAACACATTCAGAGATACTTTTTTTTTTTTTTTGTCAAGGTACTGAAGGATCAGAATTAACCCAGATCTGGACTGATATAGCTTGGTTTGCAATCTTGAAAGAGGATTTCTAGCTGTCTATACATATGGTATTTGTCTAGGTATTTTAAGGTTATCTGTGTTTTAGTGAATTTGTAATCCTAATTTTAGCCTCTGCATTCCCTTCAGTAGTTCTCCCCTCTGTTCCTCTTTTTAGTTAATTTAGATAGACTTACCAGACTATTCAGAATTTAAGAAGCAGGAACTGTGTCTACTCTCAGGTTATTCTTCTCCTTTGTTTGATAAATGTTTTCTGTTATGGTTCAATACAGTATGTGCTGCAGTTTTTTAATTTTAGCAGTTTGTATTTGCTGAAGATGCTTGGTTTGCCCTTCCAAATATTCCCCTGATTCCACCTGTTTTATTGACTTTCATTAATTTTTTGCATAATTCTGTGATCAACCATGTGGCCATCATTAACACTGATTGGACATGTAGTTGAATCCAAATTTTTTTAAATTTTAAGAGCAGAAAACTCGATTTAGGCTTTTTCAATTAACTTGACAGATGTATAGATGGCACTAGATGGATAGATTCAAATTTTAAAACATAGATATATTCTCATTATTTCTGGAAGTTTGCCGATGATGAAGTTTTTTCACATAAACAGAGATCTAATTATTCTCAATTTGATGTAGGGACATTTGCATCTGAGATTTTAGTTTTAAAAAGGTACATGAAACAAACAGAAGAAACATGAAGTGACTCATTATTAGAAGTACAGCAGTTTGACAAAGTCCATTATTAATAATAATTCCTATTAGAAAGGGGAATTGAGGTCTACTTGTTTTCCTTTGTCATTTTTATTTGTAAAAATATATATATATATATGTATATATTTATAAAACTCTGGCGGTCTAAGTATACGTAGTTGAAAGTGTGCAGCAAGCTGGATGACAGATTTTCACGTTTTCATTATTACTTTTTTTATTATTACATTATTATTATTAGATTGCTTTATTCCTGTTATATGAAGAGTAATATATCTCCTTATGCTTTTCCCAGGTCACTTAGAACATCTTTTGGTTAAAATAGTTAAACCCTTCTTCACCTTCTTGCCAATATATAATATTTGGGTCTAGCATAAAATCCCATTTTTTTATTCAGAATCCTTGTCATTTACAGCATTCTTTTTTCGAGAGAGGGAAACTTATCAGGAAGCATCATTAACTGTCCTGTCCTGTATATTTGATTTCTGTGTTTAGGCAACCAAATAGCTTGTTCTTTTTGCTGCAGGTGTGCAGAGGAACACATGCTTTCAATGGCCTTTGAACAGTAAGTAATAATTTTTGCAGTTTTATTAATTGGTTGTTTCATTCAGCATACAATTCTTAGACTGACTTTTTTTTCACGGACAATGTGAGAAAAAGTAAAGGGAGCTTTGATGATAGAAGGTTGCGGTTGATAGCCATAGTTTATTTTTTTAAAATGCCACACTACACAACTAGAAATTTTTGACATTTGCTGCAATTCATTACAGGGAATGGGTTATATAGCTAAAAGAGTTGGACAAAATGGGGTTATATCCAAAGTTAGGAGTGGAACAAAAAGAATTAAAGATCTGAATCTTCTAAAAAAATCCTGTGATGGGTTAGTAAAGTTACCCTTTTTTTTCCAGTACATAGTTTTATGGGATAGACAGCAAAATGTTGTTGTCTGCTTAGTATGTTAACATGATACCCTTTCAGAATTTCTTGGTGCAGCCACTGATAAACTTTTAGCATTTGGCTCATGCTAATACATCCAGACACATGACATGTTTCTGCAACCAAAACAGTGCATCATGTACAGTAAAAGGAAATGATTGTCTAAAAAGGTGACCAAAATATCCTCTGCAGCTGTAGGACAATCATAAGCTTATTCTGTTCAGAAATGAAAGATTTCTTACTTCAAATTCAATACCCTTTAATGTTTTGGACCAAGACAAGGATTAGCAGCCAAGTGATGAGAAGAGCTCTGTTTGGACATGCTACTAGAAATTTTTTTGAAGACGGTCAAGTTTAATTTACTGAAATATAATACTGGAAGTGAAGTTGTGCCTTTCTTACATGCTATCAGTGATCATAAACTAGAGATTACAAAAACAGGTATAGATAAAGGCAAACAAATATTTCAGTCTTGATGAGCATAAAAAAATCTAGTTATATTTTAAAACAAAATAACAAAGAAATATTGGTTTTCTCATGCCTAAAAAGCTCAGTAAGGTACTTTGCCCTAGCTTATGCCTTATAAATGAATGATAAGAGGAAAGACAGAAAAACAGGAATCCATATTACTGATTCTCTCTAGGAAGCTGATTGAGGGTATCAAGAATTAGCATATTTTATTGCTAAAGATAGATGTCCAGCTCACTCATCTGCATCAAGCTTTTGATTAATGGGGTGTTTCACCTTCTACTTGTGATGGTTTTAATATTATTCTTGCAGAATAACTCCTTAACAAGAAGAACCTGGGCCCTGTGCTTCCTTGCAGAGTAGTCCAAACTTTAGCTTTCTAAAGCTAAAGTTTTAAAGTTTTTAAAGTTTTAAAGTTTTTTAGCTTTAGCTTTCTAAAGCTAAAGTTTTCTTTAGCTTCCTAAAGTGGTGGAGTTTTTTTTTTTCGTTGTTTTTAGAGTTAAAATAGAACAAAAATAGAGTTTGTTCATGTAAGCCATAATATGTACTCTGTTTATAGCACATCTGTATACCTGTCTTTGGGAACAAGAAAAACCTTTTGCACTAAGGTACACCTCATTCCCATAGTCAGTCAGAAAAAGCAGAATGAAATCAAACTACAATGTGATTTTTATAATTTCTTAAAAAAGAAAGTGTAACTGTGCATATAAGGAACTAGTTGAACAGATGATCTGGGTGAAGTAATTTAATCAATCAAGTAAGGTACAGCTAATTTGGGTTAAGACAATGTGATTGATGGATGAGTCTGAGGTCTCTTTGGATTGTACTTTTCTCTGAGTCATCCCAAATTAAGAAAAAATATATTCTCCCTTTCAGAAGGATATTCTCAAATGAAGAAATACTGGAATAACCCAGGAGATGTAAGAAAGTATTTTAAGTGGAGAATTTATTCTGTCATCTCTTAAATTGCAGTAAAGAATTGTAGTCTTTATGTTTTTTATGTACTAAAATTGTGATTCTGCTTATCTGTACATAGCTATAACCGGTAGAGTATTATAAATGGAGAAATCTTTCAAATCTAGTCAGTGAAGTTTAGATTGTCTCAGTTTTTTCTCTTTCTTGAAATTATGCAAATGAAGCATTTACTTTAGAAAACACCTTTAGTACTATTGGCAAAACTTGTAAACACGAGGATTAAATTAATAATAGAAATAAATACAAAATAATCATTGTTTGAAACAATAGTAATAATACTATCAAGAAACAAGACAATCCCTTAAATTATTTAACACTAATCTTATTTTGTGCAATGAACTAGAGAGCATTTTGTGTAATGAAGATGTCAAGATAGTATTTATGTATACTGAGAGGTCTCAGTAGAATTCTCCAATGTCTTCATTTTCTAAAATTCCATGCAGATTGAATTTTCTTAGTAACTGTCCTTTGTGCGCAATATATACCAATTCAGATCAAGACTGGGTAAGATCTGCCTTTCTATCCAGCATTCTGGTGATTACAAAGACTTTTTATTAGACCAGCATGAGAAGAAAAAAAGAGTTGGGCTTTTAGGTTTCCTGGTGGCTTCAGAGCCACATACAGCTGCAATTTTTTTCTGCCAAAAAAATTACCATGTAAATATAAATGTAAGCCTTTTAATGATTTGATGAGACATAATATGAGTGTTTTCTGCATATTTTAAGTGGAAGAAGAGAGAATCTGGAGATATAGAAACTAGACTCACTGAATTTTGGTTGGTTTTTTGTCATTAGGAATTTCCTCGGCATTCCAGTTATTTATAAAAATTTTCTCTGCAAAAGTGAACACAGTTACCCAGTCTCATAGTATCAACTCTGTTCAGTGGAGAGATGCCAGACATTGGAGATTGTCACTGGATCACAGAGAGGCTTGTCTTTCCAGGACAGATTAGCCGTACTATTTCCAGTGACAGCTCAGCCATTTGGGCAATTTTAAATTGAGAAAGAATTGACAATAATAGAAGTCTTCTTCTCTTGGATCCATAATCTATTTACTTGTTCCCAAGCATCACAAATTTCAGGATATTATGGTGAAAACCAGCAACACACAATGATGTCACTTATAGCTGGGACTGTCTCTGTACCTCACTTTACAAATAGCCCTTAGGAACCATGCAATTGCATGGAGTTAATCTGCTGGGCAATCCAAATTCTACATGGCTTGCATGAACTGGAACAACTAAGTCCAGATGGATCTTAGCTTTTAAAAATAACCAAGGTTTAATTGGTTGAACGTAAGCTGATTCAGGCTTGTCTGCATTTTTGTGGAGACACTGAATGTACTTACACCAAAAATCAGTGTGGTCTCTAGGACCCTGGTTAATCTGTGGTTTCAGTTGCCTCCATATAATCCTAGTTAACAGAGTTGTCTGTAGTGTATCAGAAGCACTGACACTGAAGAACCATAGGGTCTTCACGTGAAGAGACCAGAAGAAACCAAAATATAAATTCACCCTTTGAGTACTAAATATCTCCTGTACTGTTCTGTTCAAGAGGTGCACCATGGACCTTAAAAAAGAGTACAGAGAAGGGAAAAAAATATGGAACATCTTTTGTATGAAGAGATAGTTATTCATTAACCTGAAAAAAAAAGTCAGTGAGATATGATCTTGATGTCCTGTAAATCTGAATGGTATAAAGGCTAGGAGAGTATTATTATTCTCTGTGCCCCATAACACAAAACCACAAAAACATAAGAGAGCTAGATACAGTTTTCAGAATGAATTAAAGGTTCTTGTGTATGTATTACATACCCTATTGTGACATAAGTACTGGCATTATGTTAAAAAAAAAAATCATAGTCATCGTGTCAGTACTGACAGACAAAACTGCTGCTGTTTCAAAGAAATTCTTATACCCTTAGAAGATTCCCAAAGTTCACATATTCATAGTCTTTATGTCCATGGAGTGGAAATAATGAATATCCTCTGTTTGTCTTCCTTCTTGCCCCAAGTTATATGCTGAGCTGTTTTTTAAATTTCCAGTTAATGTCAAATGTAACTCTAAAATATGATGAGCACTGGGAAACAGAGCTCTTACAGTGAGATTTCATTTATAATTTTATTCCTGTACTGCTGAACTGCTTTAGTGCTTCCTGATTCAATATGACAAGTGCTAGTTGTCTGACAGTCCTCCCAGAAAACATCTCCCACCTCAATCAACAATTCTCGGGTATTTGATAGGAATGTCTTGGTGTATCTACCTACCTTCTAGAAAAGAATCTTATCTATTTTATCTAGATAGATAAGAATTGGTTTAGAATACAAAAAAAAATTATATAGATTGTCATAGTAGTCCATGTGACTTAGTTTTCTGGATTGTATGCAGTCAGTATCTCATAAGAACAGATTGACACTTCAGAGGTGTAGTGTTTTCACCTGGATTTAGCACCTTCCTCAGCCATGAATCCATCATCAAGTGGCATCTGGCCCTTTAATGGACTTACAATTTTTAGGTTAAGAAATTCCCTAAATGTTACATTTTCTCTTTTCAATGAGGCACCTTGTGCAAAGTTATCAGTTGCTATAAAAAATAATTTATTTTCCTGTGATGCAAACACACAAAATCTTTTTAAATGCCCTTAGTCCCAAGAATAGCACTGTCCCAGCTGTTCTAATCTGGTCAGCCTCTCAGCAAAGTTCTCTCCTGGTAAAAAAAAAAATTAATCTGATTTTCCACATCTATGAAATATATATGTCTATAAAGTTCTCTTTGTTGGATCAAATCTGTGTATTGCCATATAAGTACTCAGGTGAGTATGTATATATAATATATTATACATATATATATATACATATATATACATATATATGTATATATATGTATATATATGTGTATATATATATAAAAAGATAGATAGATAGATATAGATATAGATGATATAGATATAGATATAGATATAGATATAGATAGATATAGAGATAGATATATAGATATAGATGATATAGATATAGAAGATAGATATAGATATAGATATAGATATAGATATAGATATAGATATAGATATAGATATAGATATAGATAGATATATAGATATAGATGATATAGATATAGATAGATATAATTAACCCTTTTTATAAACAAAGAGGCAAGTGTGACCTTTTTAGAGGAATATGATTCTGGAATT